CACCTTGTCCTTGGCTGGCAATTTCATGGTAAGCTGGGTCCTGCTCTTTATCTGATTGAGGCCATTTTATAATAACAATAAAAACCCAAGCTAGGGGGGGAAAAGATTACTTCCTGCACATTTTTTTTTTTTAAATGTGGGAGATAATCTGTGCGGTTAGAATACCTGGGTTGGAAGGCCTGGCTCTGAAGCACACTTTTGTGGTCCAGCCAAGGAAGTGGGGTGCAGGGAGACGAGAAAACCCCTGAAGGGCATGCCCCAAACGTTGCAGAACTAGCTTCAAAAGGGAAACTTAGCAAGATAGGACAGTGATTCATACTGTATTTATATGTTGCTTCTATGTAAGGGTGCGGGTCTATGTTGTGTATAGTATGTTTAAGTGTGTGTTATGTATGCGTACACTTTGAGAGACGAAGTTAGCTGAAATGAAGCAGTTTTGCTGGATCTGGAATTCAGTGGCTAGCTAGACAAATCTACACCTTTTAAGCCAATGCAGATAGTACTTTGATTTATCTTTCAAATTTAAAGACCTCCCATCTCACTGTGACTGTTGTTTCAATTGTCATAATCTGTTGACAGAGATCTAATGGGCCTCGGTTGGAGATGAAGCTTTGGATCTGATGGGCTATTTTCTTTTTAACTGATCACTACATTAAGATTTAGTGTGGGTCCAGCTTCACATTTAGACCTAAACTCTGATCTAAGCAAAGACACCTTACTGACTTTGCGTGCTCCTTTGTGTAACGTGAGAAATTTCTTAAATCCCACTTACACTTTGTAGAGAGTAGGGAAGATGGCCTTGACAGAAAAAAATGCAAGAACTGTTCTATTAGCAAAGAGGGTTGAAATGTTTTATTTTTCAGTCCAGAGCAATGAAATATAATTCAGAAGTAGCTCCGTTCATTGGTTCACTGGAGTATAAGGAGGAGGAGAAGGAGGAGGAGGAGGAACAGCACAAATTAGATTTGAAAGATTCTGCTGTTATGCCCAATATCGATAAAGAGGTTTTTTGAACTTCCCATGGAGTTATAATAATAATAATAATGATAAAGTTGGAAGGGACCTCGGAGGTCATTTAGTCCAACCTCCTGCTCAGGCAGGAAACCCTACACCATTTCAGACTAATGGCTGTCCAGTCTCTTCTTAAAAACTTCCAGTGTTGGCGCATTCACCGCTTCTGGAGGCAGGTTGTTCCACTGGTTAATTATTCTAACTGTCAGGAAATGTCTCCTTAGTTCCAGGTTGCTTCTCTCCTTGATTAGTTTCCACCCGTTGCTTCTCGTCCTGCCTTCAGGGGCTTTGGAGAATAGCTTGACTCCCTCTTCTTTGGGGCAGCCCCTGAGATATTGGAAGACTGCTATCATGTCCCCCCTCGTCCTTCTCTTCATTAAACTAGACATACCCAATTCCAGCAACCGTTCCTTATACGCGCCAAACAATATAGATTCACTAGATTCGGTTGCTTATGTGAATGCAGTCATCAGAGAGAATAGAAAAGACGTATAAGATAATTCATAGAGATTTGCATTGCTTTGGATTTTTTTCCAAATTACTGTTTGAGAATATACAGGCGCAAGAATGCAGCACCTGCCAGTGACTCATTAAAGCAGCTGCATCTGTTTTCAGAACTTCGCCATACCTAGAGACAGATGCAACTGCTTTAATGAGTTGTAACAGTTGTTCCGCTCGTACTCCCACACACTTTGAAATCCAAAGCATTGCACAGCTTGAGTAATTTTATGGATTCTGACTAGTGCCATGATGATGCTAATTTAGCATTTGTGTGTGTGTGTGTTTTAATAGTCTTCCAAACTGCTTACTACACTTAGATTTGACTTTGCAACAACTTCTGTAAAGTTAATTAATACTATTGTCCCCGTGCGGTACCTGTATCAAAGAAACAATGGTCTCACAGAAATAAGGTCTGAAGCAGTCCACTTCCTGATTTATTGTTCTGTTCCTTGGCCATTCCGAATTAAAAATCCAATAAATAAACCTTTTTTGTTGGTTTGTTTAAAGTGGCTTTGATACAGAGTGCAAGAGAAAATGTTCTTTTTTAAAAAAAAATAAAATATAATCTGCTTGGACCTGTGTGATGTACTTATTCTTAAAAGTAGACAATGGACACCCTGGGAGAATGCAAGCCTTTGTGTTTGCGTGTAGAATTTAGTTTTGCTTGACGTGTGCGTGTGTGTGCATGTATGTGTGTCTCAATAGGCATGCACAATACTGATATAATGAAAGAGAAGCAGCTCCCTGTTGTGTGAACGATTTGATGTGTTCTTGTAAATACACAGGAATAAATCCTATAATGGAGAAAGTCACTTTAATGCCAGAAGAAATAAATATCACTAAAGGCTGAAGGGAGGGTACCTCTCCTTTTGAAGTCATCATATATTTGCCGGATTTTTTGCGGTTCAGGTAGCGCTCCATGTTTGCGAGCTGTGAAACAAAACAGCAAAATAAAACGCGCTCTCTTTCTCCCTCTTTCTTCTTTCGATTGTGACTTTAGCTACAACATTGCAAGATCGTGAACTAGCCATAAAGCTAGGTGGATCCTTAAGTACCTTTGAGGGTCAAGCATTCTGGAAGGGATGCACAAATGATTAAATAGCATAGCTAAGTCTCATTGTTTATAGTTAAAATAATAGAATGATGGATGACTTAAGAGCAAGGTGATTTCCAACTGCTAAGAAACTAGATCAGTTCCTGCATCTATTCTATTCTGTTCTTTTCTGTTCCGTTCTGTTCTGTTCCATGTTTTCTAGACTAGTCTAATCTAGTCTAGTGTAGTCTAGACTAGTGTAATCCAATCCATTCCATTCCATTCCATTCTATTCTATTCTATTCTATTCTATTCTATTCTATTCTATTCTATTCCATATTTTCTACTATATTTCATTCCATTCCATATTTCTATTCTAATTTCTAATTTTTTTAAAATTAAAAGGCTGTTCAACTCCATCATGACTTTGGGTATGTATACATCCATCTTCAGTAAAAGCAATCATATAATACAAAACCTAGCCTAACCCTAACCCTAACCCCTTTAACCCAAGCCCTGGAGAACCGCCAAGATGGGGACCAGATGGATTTTGGACTTCTTTCAGGGGGATGTCTGCCCAAAGAGATAACAGTTCAGATTTATTTTTTTCCTTGGACTGCTGAAGCAGATGCCTTGGTAGATTCTGTACCCTATTTTTGTATGTGTTGCTCTCTAAAGTGGGGAATAATTATTATTTTAAGGAGTTTCATTTCCTTTTCCTTTGTGTGTGTGTGTTTTTAAATGATTTGTGTGCTATTACGACATTTCAATTGTCTGCCACTGGGCTGAGTCCTTTCCCCACATTGTATTGATGTCCCACACATAACCTTTAGAAAATAATCTCTGCATTAAGGAAAAACGGGGCAGTCAGAAGGGTAAATGGGTGAGACCTCAGCAACTTTTTTTATTTGCCCCAAATATAGTTTAAAGCCTGAGGATCCAATCTAGAGAAGACTACTTTAGCCTCCTTAGAGCCAAACAGCTAAACGTCATGGTTCCGACAGATGAAACTCTTCAAAAGAACTTTGAGGCATAGTTTACCTTAAAGAATCTTTATTTTGAGTGGCATAATATCGGTACTGCATAATTGAGCCAAAAACTGAATTCCCCTCCCCTGAGCACATAGTATCAAATCACAATTCCCTCCTCCAATTAACAGTCATAAATCACATTCCCCAATTAGCTTGAAACATGGGCTTCCTCTCCCGTTTTCCAGCCCGCCAATTCCTTATCAACTCTGGTTACAATAACCTTGATTCTCACGCTAGTTTAGTGTTGTTATGTCTAGCTGGACTCTCATTCACATCCCCCCTCCCAGCATCATCTAACTCTAAAAGCAAAAGGAAAAAGGAATTTCTAAAGAAGAGAGATGGAGGGACAGAGAAAATGTTCAAATCTCTGGCTTCTGTATGTATGATAAATATGAGTCCGTTGCCATGCGTCTGAGTTTTGATCACGTGACCACCGAGACACCGTCACGGTCCTAAGTTACTTCTTTCCAGTGCCGTTCAGTAACTTTGACCAGTTATTAAACGAGCTGTGGTTAAGCTGAGGAATACCTGCATTAGGCTTGCACGTTTGGTTTGCAGCTCTCTCATAAATATGGAAGGTGAGCGGGCTGAACGTTAGAAGAATTCTGCTTCGTTGGGACAGAAATGTCTGTGTTTTTTGGATGGAATTCTCCTAGTAGAACAGGTAGGCAGCGTGTGGCTGTGGATTCAGCCATGGACCCATCCTGGTTTGTTTAAAAATACTTTTTTTCCCCATATTTTTTTTAATGAACTAGGAATCTGACCGCTGCCGAGCTAAGCTGTAGCTCTTCCGTTGTATCTATTGGCAGGAATGCCACAAGATCCAATTAGAGCAGCACAAGGCATTTGAAGGGACTCGTTAGCTTTTACTGAGTAGACAAGCTTCCATTGCTGGATTTTATTGTAACTGGGCTCTTCGCACCTGTGTGACACCAGAGTGTCAGGTTTCTCCTTGGCAAGCTGGACTGAAACTCATTAAATAGCCCCACAAGAATCCAGGAATGACCAGGAATCAATCAGCTTTTGATCAGAAACATATTGTAGAAAAGTTTGAGACCCCGTTAGGGAATATCGAATATCCAGTGCAAGTTCAGTTTATAACTATCCATCATTGGGGGGTTTTTTTCTCTCCTTTTCGCTCTCCACAAGGTGCCAGAAATAATTCTCTTTTGGGCAGGAAGTAGAGTTTCCGTTGTTCCTTTGTGTAGCCAGGGACTAACTTTTGATTGTGTGAGAACTTGTGTTCAAAAGCAGACGGAAAAGCTTGCCTGTACTTGCAGCAGGCAGATGCAACTTAGCTGCTGATCGGGGCTCTCTCTGCTCCAGAACTCCAGAATGCACGGTTCATCTCAGAACCTGGTTTGAGCCCAATTATCATTGGATCTCACGACTCATGGGTTGATGTGTGCTTTCCCTTTCACCAGTTTAGGGGAAGCCGGCCGGAAGTCGCCAAGGACATTTCCAACGCAGCTGGAGAGCGACCGAGTCGTCAATGATCAGTGGGGGGCATCTGAAACAAGCCCCATGCCAAGCAACATGTCTTCAGACAAGGACCAGGTAGGTGGCGACAAGGTAGGCGATAAGGTGACTCTCTGGCAATGATGCTCAGTTGGGATAGGGCACGATTTTACAGTTTTCTGAGGAATCAGGGTAGCCGGTAAATGGTCCCTTCTGCATCCTCAAAAATAAAAACTGTGTGTGTCTCTTGCCACTGAATTGTCAATGGCGCCGTCAGCAATTGGTGGATAATATGGCCGAATAGCCCAGAAGCTAAACAGATCAATAAACAAGGCCAAATCCTAACTGCACCTCCTTCCTTCCTTCCTTCCCTCCCTCCCTCCCTCTCCCTTAAAATCAACTTTCCTTCCTTCCTTCCTTCCTTCCTTCCTTCCTTCCTTCCTTCCTTCCTTCCCTCTTAAAATCAACCTTCCTTCCTTCCCTCCCTTCCTCTTAAAATCAACCTTCCTTCCTTCCTTCCTTCCTTTCTTCCTTCCTTCCTTCCTTCCCTCCCTTTTAAAATAAACCTTCCTTCCTTCCCTCCCTCTTAAAATCATCCTTCCTTCCTTCCTTCCTTCCTTCCTTCCTTCCTTTTCTTCCTTTTTTTTTAAATTTGCTAGTTAATTCTCAACTTCTCCAGTTGAGGAAATGCCTGCTGGTGATGGATTAGTTCTATTGCGCTCATTGTCATCACTCGTGGCACTCCCAAGAAAAGGACCTCTGTCTGAATCTCACTTTCAGCAAAGTTTGGGGGAGTTTGTCTAAATGGTAGGGAGCTTCCTGAATTTGAAATCTGGCTTATTTCTTAAAAGAATTGGTTTGCTTGTCACTCTTCAGAACTACCCATCCACCTCAGCATTCTGGATAAGGTATATATTTTAAAATATTTTAAAAGACAATGTAGAAGCAACAGTTGTCAAGCATCCGAATATAAACCACGGGGATGCTCCAACGGTCGTAAGAGTGAAAAACGGTCATAAGTCACTTTTTTCGGTGACTTTCAACTTTGAACGGTCACTAAATGACCTGTTGTAAGTCAGCAACAGTCTGCACTGGTTTCCAGTTCTAGTTTCTCCCATTTCCAGCTTCAAGGTTACCCATTTCTACACGCCCAAATCTATTAGCTGAAGAATAAACTTCCCACATGGAATAATAGAGCATTTCTTGGGGGGGGCGGGGAATTATAAGTACCACAAACAATCGGAAAAGCTTTTAATTGCTTCACCTTGCAGCAACTTCCTTTTAAGACTGCATGAATGACCTTAAAGGTTAAAACACTTGCTGTTCCCGAAAACAAAGGGAGACAAACAAACAAACCACTTACGATGTTCATAATGAGTTTTAGAATTAGAGTGCAATTTGAAACTTACACCTACTGGAGACCTGGTATCAGGAAATAAATAAAAAAAAGGCTAAATTTTGTTCCTTCTGTACGATCTCTCAAGACCTAGTTGCGGCGTTGTTTGTTAGTGTGTTTTAAAAAGGGGGGAAAGACATTCGCTTATTCAGCCAGTTTCTCCAAAGGATTTGTTTAATGCGTCTTAATTCTGCTTCTTGGTATGCTACCTGTGCCATGTTTTCAATTAAAGACAATAGGGAGTGCGTGGAAGGAGGAAGAGTGTGTTCAAAAATAAATTTTTCCCCAGAGAGAGGAGTTTCCTGTAAGAGGTCACTTCTTCCCCATTGCTCCTTAAATAAATTTTCTACCTTTTGACCCCAATCTATTTTTTTTCCCCTTGTCTAGAGGCTGCCATGTTTTCTTGAAACATTTCCCGGGGTTTCTGCAGCGTTCACCTTAGTAAAGGCAGTTCTCAGTTTATCAACATTTATAAAAGGAGAGAAAATCTGTAGCCTTAATCTGAAACTGAACAAGAAATATTCAGAGATTCTTAAACAAGCAGAGTTTGGCAAGCAGGCAAACATTCAGTATGGGAGGAATCCCTTGGCAGAATTCACATTCTGCTCTTATGGAAAGACTGGATGTAGAAAATTGGGGTTCCTCTATCAGTCTGTCTGCTCATCTTCCTTCCCCAATATTTTGCTCTTTTGAACGAGGAGGCCCATCAGCCTGCCTAGTGGTTTGGGAGGATGGGAGCTGTGGCCCAAAACATTGGGAAGGCATGATATCGGAGAAAGAAGATCTATGCCAAACTGACACAAAAGGAATGTAATGGTATGTGAGAATAACCTTGGGAAACAGGAAGAAGAGCTGCAGAGTAAGCAACAATCAGATATGATGAGGTTGAACTCACAAAAGGAATGGCAAGCATCTTAGATCTCTAGTTTCTTGGACAGTAAAAGCAACGTGGGGGCAAAAGATTCTGTTAATACAAGCTTACGACACAAATAGAGCTAGCGTGTTTCTTGCCTGGACTACTTTGCATGGCTGACGAGGACTGAGCAGAACCTGCACAATCTTGTCTGGGCTAGGAAGTTAAATAGGCTTTATCCTAGTTACAACTAGAGTAGGTTTCTAGTATTAACTAGAAAAAAAGAGTAGATTTCTTACACCCCAGAAGAAAGCAAGAGTCAACTACCTCTGAACAGTAGCAAAGAAAATTACATGGATTAGTTCTTGAAATCCCCAGCTTGACTTGAAGGGAATTTTACCTTTATGGGGAAACAATTGGGGATCGTGTGCAATTGTGAAGCCTGCACTCTGCTTCTGACTGACAGTCCACCCCCTTGTCAATGCTTTCCTCTCTGCCTTTTTCAGCAGGTACTTCCACCCACACTTGCAAAGTCTTAATCTCTGTAACCCTCAGGATGACAGGCACCGCAGCCCTCTTGAACAGCTCGTTTGGAAGAGCAAAGAGGGTGATTTGGAGCATGAGAAGAAACCTCAAATTTCTTTCCAGCATCATAGTATAGCTGCGTCCCTTTGTGAGAGAGATGGGTGGTTTCTAAATATGATAGCTAGATAAATAGCTAGATCGCTAGCTTATCTCTCGATAGATAGATAGATAGATAGATAGATAGATAGATAGATAGATAGATAGATAGATAGATAGATAGATAGATAGATAGATAGATAGATAGACAGACAGACAGACAGACAGACAGACAGACAAGAAGGATAGATGATAGATAGATAGATAGATAGATAGATAGATAGATAGATAGATAGATAGATAGATAGATAGATAGATGATAGATAGATAGATAGATAGATAGATAGATAGATAGATAGATAGATAGATAGATAGATAGATAGATAGATCTCCAGCTTCTCATGATCCTTCTTCCTGATGTTGCTATCACTTGTCCACATCTATCAGCACCACTCTCTTCTGATCCTACCACGGTGTGCACACACACACACACACACACACACACACACAAACATATCAATTTGCAGGAATGTTTTGGAGTTCCGTGAAGATCCTACTAGGATGGTGAGGAACTAGTTGGTCTTTTACGAAACGAGGGTTCGGCAGCTGGTCGGGGCCTCCATTTTGTGAGTGGATCCACCACCCGCTTCCAAATTTGCACACGTACCATCAGCGCCCGAGGAACTTGCCTCTCTGCTCTACGTCCCCAACCCTGAGACCATCAGCCTCTTTCTGAGTAGCTGGGCTGGACCAAACAATTTCATAGACCATTATTCTCTTTCTACTCTATTTACTCAGGTCCCTTCTGGCCAGTGGTCACCTACCAAAAAAGTGGTGAACGAAAGCCCTTCCAAATGCCCGCGTTTTGCCAAAGTGAGGAACTGGGAAACTGGCTGTGTGCTCAACGATAATTTGCATTTGAAGTACTCCATGGTAAGTGAGATGCCCGCCTGCTTGAGTATTCTTCCAAATGTTTGGGGTCCACTTCTAAGGAAACCTCCTTGAAACATGCTTTTCTCAAGGGCCGGCTCTACCATGAGTGGAGTGAAACAGCCAATCCAGGCAACTAGGCTTCATTCTCAAAGGTTGTGATTAACCTTAGGGAGGAGGAACCTTGACTGGAGAAGATGGGGGAGGTACGTCAGGTAGTCCTCAAGTTTCAACCAGGGGGCACAATGGAGCCTGCAGTGGTTAGAATGCAGCATTGCAGGCTAACTCTGCCCACAGTCTGGAGCTCGATCCTGATGGGGATGAAGGCTGACTCAGCCTTCCATCCTTCTGAGGTGGGTAAAATGAGGACCCAGATTGTTGGGGGCCATAGGCTGACTCTGTAAACCACTTAGAGAGGGCTGTAAAGCACTGTGAAGTGGTATATAAGTCTAAGGGCTATTGCTATTGCTATAACCACAATTGAAGTTCAGAGAAGAGCAACTAAAATAATCAAAGGCCTGGAGACTAAAACATATGAAGAACCAGCTGCGGGACTTGGGTTTGGCTAGTCTAAAGAAAAGAAGGAATAGGGGAGACATGATAGCAGTGTTCCAGTATCTGGGGGGGCTGCCACAAGGCAGAGGGGGCCAGGTTGTTCACCAAAGCACCAGAGGGAGGGACGAGAAACAATGGTTGGAAGCTGACCAAAGAGAGAAGCAACCTGGAATTAAGGAGAAACTTCCTAACAGTGAGGACAATTAACCATTGGAACAGCTTGCCACCAGAAATCGTGGGCGCTCCATCACTGGTGATTTTTAAGAAGGGACAGTCACTTGTCTGAAATGGTAGAGCTTCTCCTGCTTGAGCAGGGGGCTGGACTAGAAGACCTCCAAGGTCCCTTCCAACTCTGTTATTTTTCTCCTCTCTGGATAGTGCGGTCCTGCAGTGGAGCTGCAAACGGGAATAAATACTTCTTTGATCATTCCATCCGTGTGTTTCATTTCCTCCCTTCTGCATTCAAGCCTTCTTCCATCAAATGACTGAATCTTTAATTCTGGAATTTGCCAGAGTGACTAATTTGTGCTCCGATTCAGTTCTTCAGCTAAGTCTCCCTCTCCCCGCTCCCCGTCTCCCGTTTGTCGTATTTCTTCCCTTCGCCTCCTGTGCGTAGATAAGCCACCTCAGAGTGCCATTTACCGCACCATTCATATCAGGGTTCTTTCTGACGGTGCCACATGAAAGAATGCCAGCCACAAAGGATCTTGATGCTGCGATGTGCGGGTTGTTAGCTGAAGAATGCTCCTTTGCCGTTCAATCAATGCGCCCGAGCGCACGTGCGCGACAGATTAGCAAAACACCAGTTAACAAAATCGGGAGCGAAAAGGAAACATGAATAAATGAGAGAATTGTAGACCTAGGGTACATTTTTTGGGGGGGAGTTAAGTTTTTTTAAGATGCAAATAAGAAGGTCTCAGAGGATAGCGCCATTTAAGAACACCCATCCAGGGTGCAGCAGCTGCGAAGCGGTGCAAATTCCACACAGGGCGGATCATTAAGGGAAAAAAAGGTACAAAGGCCTCCGTCTCATACCGCTTTCATAGAAATGTATACAGCGCGGAAGGCTTTTTAGAATCGTGTTTCTTGGAAGGGGCAAGGAAAAAAGCACAGGAAAGAAAGCTTGTCGCCAGAACAACTGGAAGAAAAGTTACAAAAGGAGCTTTGATTTCCCCATCTGATTATTTTTCTTTTTTTAAAAAAAAATCAAATAGGGGAAGGAGCAGAATAGAAATTTTGATATATATCTTTCTTTCTTCCTTCTTTCATAATATTCGTGCGAGAGAGAGACATTTGCCCAAAGCTGCTGTTTTTCAGGCGTGTGGTTCCCGCAAATGCGTTTTGTAAGCAGCCAAAGCGACGTGTTAAACTCTTAAGAGCATTAAGATTCAGAGCAGAGTCCCACGACGGTGAGATCAGCGGCGTATAAATTTAATAAATAAATAAATAAATAAATAATATCTCTGAACTTCTTCCCTCATCCCTGGAGCATCCACTTCGAACTCCTTCGACAGGTGAACAGAATCTTGACCAGTTGGCTTTCTCTTTCTCCTCCTCCTTTCTACTTCCTATCTCTTATCTTTCAGGTGACCCCTTGCAGTGATCAGGTCTGCATGGGGTCCATCATGGTCCCTCCTCAGCATGTCCGCAAACCGGAAGAAGTCCGGACGAAGGATCAGCTCCTCCTCCTCGCCAAAGAATTCATTGATCAGTACTACTCCTCCATCAAGAGGTAAGTTGGAGGCCTCCACAAACTGTCATGATTTCTGCAAGGTATTTGACCATGGGCAACCCTGCACCAACTTGTCCCATTGGCTACGATCAGGGTAGCCTGCTTGCAAATTAAGGATGGGTCTTTAAAATAAGTGGACAGCAGAGTCTTCCTGGTTACTTATATAAGTCTGGCATGAATCTGCCCTTAATTTGTTCAAACATGCTCTCCCCTCTGCAGAGCACATTTGGGTAGGACAGAGGTCTCCAAATTCAGCAACTTGTGGACTTCAGCTCCCACAATTCCCCAGGCAGCCACCCTGGGTGGTGAATTCTGGGAGTTAAAGTCCACCAGACTTAAAAGTTGCCAAATTTGGAGACCTCTGGGTTAGGATAACTTTCCGTAATAAGGAAGGGGAAGGAAAGAGGATTTAGCTCCATAAATAAGGAGCTGAATGCTGTGTGAAAAACTGGAAATAAAGTGCTTCTTTATTCTTGATGCGTCTAACTATGCTTATGGTGATTAATTTGGCAAATATTGCTTTTAGTTTTGTTTGTATTTATTTTCAACCGACAAATTGCTCTTACATTAAAAGAAGCTAAAGAATTGTCGATAAAAGCCTTGAGTTGAAATATTACGGCATGTTCCTTCGGGGTTCTGGAGCCCATCCTGGTGAGCCATTAGTAAAGACAATTTGTCTGACCTAAAACACCGCATAGAAACGAAGCATCTTTGGACATTCAGATTCTCCTCTCCCCGCGTTAATGAGTGTTTTGAAAGTGGCCACAGTTAGAAGAGATGAAGAGGCTAAATCTCCAAGATAATTATCCAACGTCATGTGATTGCGGTGTTATGGTTTTGTACTGCATTGGGGAGACCACACTTGGAATACAGCATCCAGTTCTGGTCACTGTGACACAAAAAAGATGTTGAGACCCTAGAAAGAGTGCAGAGAAGAGCAACAAAGATGATTAGGGGGCTGGAGGCTGAAACATAAGATGAACAGTTATGGGAATTGGGAATGTCTAGTCCAGGGGTCTTCAAACTTGGCCCTTTTATGACTTGTGGATTTCAACTCCCAGAATTCCTCAGCCAACGTGCCTGGCTGAGGAATTCTGGGAGTTGAAGTCCACAAGTCATAAAAGGGCCATGTTTGAAGACCCCTGGTCTAATCTAATGAAGAGAAGGACGAGAGATGACACGATAGCCGTGTTCCAGTACTTGAGAGGCTGTCATAGAGAAGATAGGATCAACCTATTCTCCAAAGCCCCTGAGAGAAGATAGAAGCTTATCAAAGAGAGATCCAGGCTAGAATTAAGGATAAACTTCCTGATGTTGAGAACAATTAACCAGTGGAACGTCTTGCCTCCAGAAGTTGTAGGTGCTCCATCACTGGAGGTTTTTAAGAAGCGACTGGACAGCTCTTTGTCTGGAATGGTATAGGATCTCCTGCTTGAGATTGGACTAGAAGACCTCCAAAGTCCCTTCCAATTCTATTATTCCACATTCTGAATCTTCTTGTGCTCATCGTGATTATGAGGATGGCCAACTTTGGCACAATGCCTGTTCCCTTTTGCTTGGGGCAGGATTGCCCTGCGCAACTCAGCTATGCCCACCACAATAGCATGAATGAGGGCCAACCTCTTTCCTTCTCTGGCCTGGCAGGTCTGGCTCGAAAGCTCACATGGAAAGGCTGGTGGAAGTCACCAAAGAGATAGAAACCACGGACACTTACCAGTTGCACGATACGGAGCTGATCTATGGAGCCAAGCACGCCTGGCGTAATGCGTCTCGTTGCGTGGGGAGAATCCAGTGGTCCAAGCTGCAGGTGAGGAACTCAGGGACTTGGACACCGCCCGCAGGCCACCTGCCTACGTGCTTATACTTTGGCAAGTGCAGGTAATTCTTAGCAGGTATGAATATGCTTGGCAAGCCGGCACGGCAGTTAAGAGGCCTGGAAGAAGGCTGAAAGCTTCGGTGAAGCCAGAGGATTTGGGGAATCTGATGTAAAACAAGCCCTCCAAATATCTTAAGTTCAGGGTTTGGCAAGCACCTACGCCCGGCCCACGCAGGGTTTCTTTTCATTAAACCAAAAGGAAGAAAAATCTCTATCAATTGGAGGCATGTCAGAGTGGCAAACAACCTTTCTGTGCAAATGTTAATCCTCAATTTCAGAGATTTGCATGCGAAAGTAGAGTCTCTCCCCTTACCTGAATGACTGAACTCATTTTAAGCCTGCTTAAGAGTTTATGTGGGTTTATTTGCTGAGCCAGCCCCAGATGTAAGGTGGAAGGACTGTCAAATTCTTTTCTTCTTTTACATGGTTTTTCTCGTTGGCCCTTCAGGATCTTAAAACCTTCGGGTCTAAGCCTGCCTTCCGTGTCTGCAGAAATTAAATCTTTCTGCTACTGCACATGGCAGCCGTTCAGCATTTAAAATGTACGATAATATGCATGAACTTACACATCAGTACTGCCTTCTCTTCTTCAAGACCAAAACTGGGCCTTCATTCTCTTTGTAGTCCTTGTGGATCATAACTCCGACTCTTCTGTTGCTCCCCTCTGGGAGGAGGTTTCGAAGTATTTATAGCTGAACTACTAGATTTGTAACAGCTTTGTTCCTTATGCCATCCGTCTTGTAAATTTGCAGGATTCTTTTTTTCTCCGCCACGTATATGTATACATTCGAACTAGACTGTGATGTCATATATGTGTGGGTATGTGGGTATATGCATAATGGTATTTTTTTCAGAGCTGAATGGAACAAAATTTCATTTTAATGTTATGCTGATTAGTGTACATTTAATGTGACAATAAAGATTCTACATTCTATTCTATTCTATTCTATTCTATTCTATTCTATTCTATTCTATTCTATTCTATTATTCTTCCAGGTTTTTGATGCCCGGGACTGTACCACAGCCCATGGGATGTTCAACTACATTTGCAACCACATCAAATATGCCACGAACAAAGGGAACCTCAGGTACATGTGTGTGTGTGTGTGTGCATGTGCGTGTGTGCGTTGATGCCCAAATGGCATGATGGCATTGGACCAAGACCCGTTTTGTTATCTTTGCTTGGGAAGCTTAGCAAAAAACGGAGCAACCCAAAGTTAGAATCTCCCATAGCCAGTTTGGTCTAGTGCAGGGGTCTTCAAACTTGGCCCTTTTATGACTTGTGGACTTCAACTCCCAGAATTCCTCAGCCAGCGTGCCTGGCTGAGGAATTCTGGGAGTTGAAGTCCACAAGTCATAAAAGGGCCAAGTTTGAAGACCCCTGGTCTAGTGGTTAAGGCACCACGCTAGAATGCAGGAGAGCATGAGTTCAAGTCCCGCCTTAACCGTGAAAGCCGGCTCGGTGAGTTTGGGCCAATCACCTGGAGACTCTGAGTTCTAGTTCTGCCTTAGCTCTGAAAGCCAGCCAGGTGAGTTTGGGCCAGTCCCTCTCTCTCAGCCTTGTGGGGAAAATAGGAAGAAGCAGGTTACTTGTGAAAATAATAAAGGCGGGGTGCAAACAGATAAAATAAAATTAAAAATAACATAAAATGAACATTCTAGTCTAAAATGGGATGGATTTTCCACTCGAATTGATTGTATACAAAGGATTCCAGAGGAGCTGCTGGTGCCTATAGAACATGGGGTGGCAACTTAGAGACCTATGGCTCCCCGTGGCTTCCATACCCCCTTCTTTACCGCCCTCTCCCAAAGCATCTCCAGCAATGTTCCTGAATTGCTATAATTGCTGTAAATTGGAGGCCGGCCTTCCTTTTCATTTCAAGATGGAAAAATAGTATGGTAAAAGCTAAAACGAGCTTAACGCTATTTACAAAAGGAAACCAAGGCAAAAAAAAGCTCCACTTCCAAGCAAACCAAGCCACTCCTGGGAGACAGCTCCAATTATTTTGCAGAATCAAACAAGACCGCCTAAAACACAGGTGTCCCACCTTGGCCACTTTAAGACCTGTGGGCTTGAATTCCTAGAATGTTAAATCCGTTGCCCCTTTTTCTCTTGCCCTCCTAGGTCCGCCATCACCATCTTCCCCCAGAGGACGGATGGCAAACACGACTTCCGGGTCTGGAACTCCCAGGTCATCCGTTACGCTGGTTATAAACAACCGGACGGTACCATCATGGGCGACCCAGCTAATGTGGAGCTGACTGAGGTTGGTGCATGACATGGGAGGACGTACAGAATCCCATAAGGGGAGCATACCTGCGGTGGAAAAATCCATCAAACTATTGTCGTGGTCTGTGAGAATGATCTTGGGAGACAGGAAGGAGGAGCTGCAGACTGGAGACTGGCATATAAAAGATGTCTCAGATCACAGATAAGGAAAAGGGATGTGGGAAGTGTTTCAGAAGGGGCTGTC